ATACTGTGCAGTGGCGCTTGGGAAACAATGGTGTTCAGGTGGAAGGAGGGGGAAGAATCCTGTGGCTAGTTTAGCTCTCAGGAAGTGTGTGTGAGAGACACAGAGAGAGTGAGTGAAATATGGACGGTTTCAGGAGAAATATAGCATGTTATAAAATGGCAAGGCAATACTAATAAAAGTATTATTATTGTGAAACTGTCCAAAGGAAGCTGATTCAAGCAGCATAGTAAGTCATGGTTCGTTGAATAAACCACAGTTGGCTTCAGATAATGTGCTAAGCTGCTGATCATGGTTTATCAACCACTGTGGCTGGGTTCACATGGTATGTTTTCCCAAACCACATTATGATTTCACACTCTTGCCTTATGCCAGAAACACTACAGTTGAATCATATAAAGTATGCTCAACAAAGCTACATTATAATTTTGCACAGTATGTGTACCAAAGGAGTTCTTTGCTATTCGTTTGAATTTTATTCAAATCACAGTGCAGAAGCAGTCTTGCATTGAAGTATTACTGCTTTGGGAGGATAAAACAACTTTGGGTTAAAGGATATAATGTAAAGGAGAATTTAAAAGGTATATGTGGGAGTGAATTTGAGATTTACCCAAATATTGAATGGAGTCCATTAGGGTTTACCTTTCTCTGGTTAATAACAATAATAATAATCATAATTTTGTGACAGGCCCATTTGGGGGGGGGAAAAAACACTGTATACCTTGGAAACTTGCACATTAAAAGAAGTAACAGAATAAAGATCTGGTAAATGTATGCTGAAAATATTTATATCAAATCATAGTGGAATTAACATGTTGCAGAAATTTGTGAATGAAAATGGGTGGGGTTTTCTTTCAGGAAATTTCTAAAGAAATCTGTAGAAAAGGCCAGCTGGTTGGAATACTGTCCTCCATTTTTAAAATATTATCTAGCATCCATCCTTACATCATATACTTATAGCTTTAAAATAATTATGTAAAGAAGTGGAGTCTTTGTACAGTGGGTCAACAAAACTAAAGGTGTTTAAACTGACTGCGTTGTGCAAATGAAACATTCTTTATTGCAATTTCTCCTCTTCCCTCCCTTTTTTAAAAAAAACAAACCAAACCAAAATTCCTTATTTTCTCTCAAGTCCCAAAACGCTTTGGAAAAAGAGTGAAGGGGTGGGGCAGTTGAGGATGCTGGCTTGTAAATGCTTCCTGGAGTAAGTAGATTTCACACTTTAGGGGAGGGGGTGTGCCTTTCCCAGCTGGAGTGGGGACTTTATGAAGTTGATCTCAGGTTGCCATGGCAACAGTCTTTTTCAGGGTGAATAACACAGAGATGCAAGAAACAAATTTAGGCCTCCTTTTCTCTCTCATTCCCTTGGTTTTAAAACTCCCTACTCTGCTTTCATAAACTTGGCCTTGCTAGTATCTTCCCAGCTTTTGATATATGACCTATATATATATATGGCCTGTATCGTTATGGCCTCCTCCAGTCCCAAGTTACTAAGGCTTGCCTTGGACTACACACACTGAAGAGTGAGAATCAGAAAGCCAAAGACCCTGGAAATATGTTCTTCGATAAAGACTGCCTACGCACTATTATTACTACAACCTGGAACGTTGTTATATTGCATTTTTTCCTATAATTTTATGTCTTTAATTCCTGATTGTTAAATTGGAGAGTAGATTATTGTGTTGATGTACATAGCTTGCATCATTTTATGTCATTTGCATGATGATATCGCTGGACGAATTAGGTAATTGATGCAAATGGTGTCATTCAAATGTCAACATTATGTCATTATGCAAATGATGTAAAACACTGCAAAAATGTGATCCACTGCGTGCAAAGTACATTGTATTAAAGTGTCTGGTAAACTGGTCTGGTTTCACTA